GTGTTCATTCCGTGAATTAGCTCATCGGACGACACGTACCGCTTCGGGTCATTCATATATGACTTGTTTCTAACTGTTTTTCATAAACTTTTTAAAACTTTGAGACTATTTTAATACTAGTATCAGAAGATAATGATAAATGAACTCTAATTAACTATTAATGAGTTTTATTAATAAATTATATATCATATAAAATATTCTTTTGAAGTGATTTCATAAAATAGGAAATAAAGTAAATATGAATTATGAATTAAAGTCTAGGCTTAAAGGGTTTATGATTTCTCTGTTCGCAAAACAGTTACATTAAGATTAAGTTTTGTGTATATTTCCACAAAAACTATGTAACGGAACAAACATTTCAAAGTATAACTATAGTTATTAATTATACATTAATAACATATGCCTTACATTATTACAGACTCCTGTATACTTCCCAAACAATTTATCCACACTCTGACATATGCTGTAAAACCTATATTTTTGGTGGTTTTTGGTCTCAATTCTTGCATAATATCACACATTTGGATGACATAAACACGGATTGAAATCCAATATAAAATTAAAGGTCATAACAGGAGTCACTCAGCGACGAGTTTCCCGTTTTAGTGATTACTGTTAACCATATTGTATATAATTTATTACTGTATAGAAGTTTACTATTTGTTAAACCAATCTTAAAGTCCTTACGCTATACTTACGCTAAAGTTGACGTAAATTCTTGAAATATTTCATTCAAAACTTTTATCATGTTTTAAGAATACACAGAAAATATGTATTAAGTCTACTAAACCACATCTCGACAGTGCTTTCTATAAGATATTACTTATAGCCACAGATTTAGGAGCGTTTTTATTGACATTTGACTAGTTTTACTATAAATATTTTAGGTATAAGTTATCTTAAAGAATTTGTGGCCATTACTGTATTACGTCAAATATACTGTAGTTTTATATTTCAATTTGTGTACATGAGGTGCAACTATATTTAAAAATGACAAACTTACCGACAATGGTTTAGACGACGGTCATTAACTATAAAAAGACCGATGGATCAGATGAATCAAGTACTGACGTTCAAGAGTTTCATCTTTTGTAGATTTACATCATATAAACTTTAATAATTTTTATATTAACTGATATTACTATTGTTCATAATTTCAATAAATAAATTTTACCGGTATGCTATACCGGTATACTTATACTTTACGTATAGGAAATCCAACAAATATTTTTAATCCATCTCTTATGAAGTTTTTAAAAAAAGTCTTCCTAAAAGACAATTCAGTACACATTGTATACTAAAATGCAAACAATTAATTTGTCAAATAAATTTATAACATTTTATATCAAACTTAGTTTTTACTTCTTAAACGATATTTAAGTAAAAATATGTTACATAACATTATCTTTGTACTTTACATATACAATACAGTGTATTGTGTGCTTTTTATTTAAGATTTCTTGGTTATACTGTAAATTAGCTCTAGTTGTAATTTCAATCAGATTTGACAATATTCTAAACAATTCTTGGTTATTATTGAACATTATTCTGAATTTCATTTAATTCAAACATAATATACATAAATTAAATAACGTTTAAATCGCGATGGTTTAGAGTTTATTAAAATTATTAATAATAAAATTTAATTTTTCAATCAATAGAAGTGTGTCCTCATAAGTGATGTCTAAATGAGTAACAAATCGTATTCTGGTTGGAGTTTTGGCACCCATTTTGACGGCAACACATCGTTCTCCAAATTCAATCTTCTCTTCATTTGTAATCTTAAAGAAAATTTAATTTTATAATTAATACTCTGTTTAAAAATTACGTTAAAATAATATTACTGTATTTAAACGCGCGGTAAACTGAGATGCAGTCATCCATTTGGGGTCGACTTCAATATAACCAATATTTGTGTGAATATTCTTCATATCAATTTTGATGAAACTTTTGTTTTGGTTAGCGATAGCTATGAAAATAAAACAATTTTATAGACATATATTCTTACGGATGGAAAATACCTTAATTAAATATTACAAATATTTATCAAGAATATTTGTAAAAAGAAACAAAAATGTCTAACCTGATGCAATCATAAAGGCGTGTTTGTGGTCCAAATGCAATCTCTCGATGTTGTGTCTTAAAGCAAAAAGACCAGGGGCTGCCAAAACGCCCGCCTGTCTCATACCTCCACCCAATACTCGACGACATCTTATGGCTCGTTGTATAAAGGGTTTAGAGCCGACCAAAACACTGCCAATAGGACAGCCCAACCCCTAACACAAACACAATTTGTAATTTATTATTGTTGTGTCAAATCGTAGAAAATATTAAACAAACCTTTGAAAGACAAAACGATAGAGAATCACAATTCTTAATAATTCTGTCAACGGATACACCAGTCTTGATGCTGGCGTTGAATATACGGGCGCCGTCCATATGCACTGCAATGCCATTGCATTTTGCAATCTCACAAACCTTTCAAAAGTTAACAATATTTTATATTAACTGTCATATTGTATATATTGAATAAAATTAAAATATTTAAAGATGTAAAAGGATTTAATGCATATTTTTAAAGCCGATTAAACTACTGATTCTTTAAATATTGTGGATAAACTTGATTGCAGATTATTTTTTGTTATTTTGATAATCATTTGAAAATATTATAGTTAGTAAATAATGTTATATAATATTGTATAAATGCATTACTTTGTCGATGAATTCTAATGGAAGTGGAGTTCCGTTGCATATATTATGTGTGTTTTCAATACAGACGAGGGCTGTGTTCGGGAATAAAGAGTCGACGTTATAACGAATCTTTGAAACCAATTCATCGATACTAAAAGTTCCGTCACTTTTGTTAGTAAGAGTACGGCTGTGGACGTGGGCTATGGCTGTTGTAAACA